CAACTAAAGCACTCCTGAAAGATAACCATCCTCTGTTCAAAGACTCTGTTCAAAGATAGAGAGTCCACCATCTTCGGAAACAAGTCTATTCCACTGTCAGACATCGGTTATAGTAAAGAAGTTCTTCCTAATGTTTGGGTGGAATCTCGTTTCTTGTAATTTCTATCCCTTGGTTTGTGTTCTAGTCTCTGGAGCAGCAGAAAACAAGCTGGATCCATCTTCTTCATGACCTACCTTCTGATATTTAAAGATGGTTATCACTTCACCTCCCAGTCTTCTCTTCTCCAGGTTAAATATTCTCAACTCCCCCAGTCCTTCATCACAAGGCTTGGTGTCCAGACCTTTGATCATCTCGGCTCTAATCTGCACTGGAGAAATAATGCAGTTTGACGCTGCTTTAACTGTCATGGCTCAATGTGATAGAATTCTGGGATTTGTAGTTTTGTGAGATATTTAGCCTTCTCTCAGAGAACTCTAGTGCCACAACACACTACAAATCCTAGGGTTCCATAGCACTGAGCTATGGTAGTTAAAGCAGTGTCAAACTGCATTGTTTCTGTTGGGTAGATTAGACTTTGGCCATCCTCCTCTGAACACGTTCTAGTTTGTCAACATCCTTCTCAACTGTGATGCTCAGGACACAGTATGTTATCATAATGTCAATAACAATATATACATCACCTATCACAATAATTCACATCACACATAATAATATATATAGTACTTGCATGTAGTGCCTAAATTAGGACACTTTACAAATCATGCAGTAAATAAGTTTCTGCCATCAAAAATCTAAAATTTATATGAGCAAGAAGTCCAGGAGGGCATACATAATTCACTCCCTTTTTCATTATTTATCTGTTTATTAATTTATTGGATTTTATATTATATCTTTCTCCTAAGAATGGCAAACGAAGTGGCTGGGGAAAAAATCAAATAAGACACTTACAACTAAAAAAAAATCAAAAACAGACCAATTCAAACAGAAGAGATTAAACATGCAACTTAAAATATACTCACAAAAGTAAGTGTGTGTGTGTGTGTGTGTGTGTGTGTGTGTGTGTATGAAATACCAGCCAGTTAAAATCCTCTTTTTCATTAGCAGCGCTTAACTGGAAAAGCAATTAAAAGGTCTTTGACTACTGGCGGAAGCACAACACTGCACACTGCAGAAATAAAACAGTTTAATGCCACTTTAACTTCCATGGCTCAGTGCTATGGAATTCTGGGATTTGTAGTTTGGTGGGGCACCAGAGCTCTCTGACAGGGAAGGTGGGATACTCAGGTCTCCTTCTCCTTGTCATCAGGTTGTGCAGGTGTTGTGCCAGTGCCTTGATGCTGGATGAGGACCAATAAACTGAAGCAGAATGTCAGTAAGACTTTGTGGATTGATGCAGGGTGATCAGATATCATAACTATAAAGGAGGTCAAGGTGCCGTAAAGTCCAGGATATTCAAGAAAACTGTAGGATATGATCAAATCAAATCCTTCCACCAGCGGTATCATATAAACACTTTTGAAAATCAATATTTAAAAGTACCATGTGTTACCCCAAGACCAGAGCCCTGATCACTCCTCATATCTGATATAAATTTAATATTAAAAGGGATGCGGATGTGAGTGACCAGTGAGTGACCTGGAAAGGTGACTCCAAGGCAAAAACCTGGCCATACCATATCTGGAAATCCAGTTGGCTGTAGTAAGGGAGTAAGCAACGGCATCCACCACCATGAGATCACCCAACGCATCAGCATCATCCCTTTTCGATGATGGGACTGTGGCAAAGAAGGTGACTGTGCTTACACAAAGGGAACTTCTCCAGAAGTAGAAGATTCCCATTATCTGAGCTATTCACACCAATTGTCTGAACATTTACTCTATCTCCTGACCATTCTTTCCCCCTGGAAAACCATTTAGCAATGAATTAATCCATTTATTTAGAGATTACTGCCCTGAGACATGATTTTGAGTGTGGATAGATAGATAGATAGATAGATAGATAGATAGATAGATAGATAGATAGATAGATATCACCACCTAAAGGTAAAGGTAAAGGTATTCCCCATTGACAAGGTTATCAAGTTGTGTCCGACTGTAGGAGGCGGTGCTCATCTCCGTTCCTAAGCCAAAGAGCCAGCGTTGTCAGAGACTACTCTGTGATCATGGGGCCAGCATGACTGCACAGAAGACTATTACCTTCCCACCAAAGTGGTACCTATCTATCTACATGCATTTGCATGCTTTTGAACTGCTAGGTTGGCAGAAGCTGGGACTAGAGATGGGAGCTCACCCCATCATGCGGCACTTGGGCCTCGAACTGCCAACGTACCGAACTTGCAATCAACAGAGTCAGTGTCTTAACCACTTGAGCCACCACATCCCTCACTATCTAGACAATAGCAATTTGGTCCAGTGTGTAACTGGGCAGACACTATCAGTTCTACTAGGCTCCTCAATAAACTGACCACCCACTTGCCAAGGTAGCTATTGAGCTTTCTTAGTTCTGGACGCCCATCAGTTTGAATCACAGAATCATAGATTTGGAAGAGACCACAAGGGCCATCCAGTC